TCTATTATATTTGAATACCCTTAGAATTATTTTTTAAATGAAATTTCTGGTGGTATAATTTACCCACAAGAAAATGAACACATTTAAGTAGAGTTGGATGTGTTTTGGCAAATGTCTACACTAATGTAAATACCACCACAATCAAGATATAGAACATTTCCATTACCCTAAAAAATTTTCCTATGCCTCTTTCCACTTAATTCCTTCTCCATCCCAAACCCCAATTCTAGCAACAAACGCTCTGCTTTCTTTCAGCACAGTGTTTCGTTTGTGGAATTTTATATAAATATAATCATATAGCATTCACTCTTTCATGTACTTCTTTAACTCAGCATAATGTTTTCTTTATTAATTCCAAGTTGTAGCATGATTACATAGTTTGTTTCTTTTTACTGCTGAATAATATTCCATTGTGTGGATATGCCACAATTTGTTTATTCATTCACATATTAATGAATATTTGGATTGTTTCCAATTTGGGACTATTGAAAAAGTTGCTGTGAACCTTCATGTGCAAGTCTTTGTGTGGATGTATGTTTTCATGTCGCTTGAATCTATAACTAAGAGGGTTAATTGCTGGGTTGACTGGTAAGTGCATGTTTATCTTTACAGGAAACTGCCAAACCATTTTCCAAGACGACTGTACTATCATTAGAATTCTTGTCAGAAACCCAATCAAAGAAGCACACATGCTAAAACACAGGTTAATTTAAAACATCCCCATTCCAATGCACAGTCTTTGCATTTACTAATAATTCTCTCTGCAGTGGTTAACTACCTGGAGTAGTTAACTCTTTCTGTCCTATTTTATTGACATAGAAGGATAAATACATCACTTTTGCCTATTACTCTGAAACTACATCTAGTCTTACAGGTATAAGTGAAGTAGAAGCCTTTTATAGTTCTAGTTTACAATTGTGGTTGAATTTCACTTTAGGGAGCAGTTTTGCTAAAGAAGATGATGTTTTAGGACATGGTAATGGGGAAGAAAATTAAAAAGGTGAAATAGATACTCAGATTGATCTTCTGGGCCCCAGTTCTATCAGAAAAGTGGACATAATAAAAATGCGAGCTTCTTCCTGGCATGTCGTGTGAATTAAGACTTAGGAGTTCCTTAGTGGAAAACATTTTATAACTGGTAAAATTTTTCAGTGGATTCATTGAAATGCCACCCTCTAAGAAAGCCATTTTGAAAAGAATTGTGTGGAGCAAAAATTACCGGATAAATTGGAGAGAAATGTTTCTTAAAGTCAAAAATTTCACTTGTAATTTAGCTTATCAAGAGACTCTCACAGACTCATTCTCTAGTGCTTGTTCCTTTGTACAGGGCATGAAACCAGTGAGATTTGATGCCCTAGGTAATTGGTAGAAATGCCTGTTCTACAATGGAGAGGTCATCTCAGGGGCCTCAAAAGCAGCAAGGTGTATCCTTTATAGAACCTGTTAATGTGTAACTAGAGACATACTAGTTACTAGAATTAAAAATTATCATCTTATGGCCTATGTAGGAAATAAAGCTTTAGTAACTAGTTTTGGACAATGGAAATGATCTGCTCAGCACTGCATTTCTTGCTGTTAGCGTTGTTTGGTTTTCATAGGAATCTATGGCAGAGTGTATTAATTTCAAACAGACACAGGGCTACTCCTCATTAAAATTGTCAAAGAGGCCAATTTGTCTCTAGCTTGCTTTCATTCTCTTTTCAGCACTTCACCACAAGTCTGGTCTGCTACCTTTGCCTCACATAGTACCCTCAAGACCACCATCTGCTCCTCAGGCGGGTCGCTCATTCCTTTAAGGGCTTCAGTACTTTCCTGCTTATAATATCACACACTTCCATCTCAGAAGAACCCATTCTGTTGCCTCAGAGCTTTCTTTGGTGATCACATGAATAGTAAAAGTGTTAACAGGTATTAAAGAAGTACACACACACACTCAGTTACTGTGGGAAAGATTGCAATCATGGTCAGGGATGAGCATTATTAACACCTGTAGGAAGAGCCAATAAAAACTTGGTGATACGGGTAGACTTTTTGTGGATTAGACACTTTAAAAGACTTATTAAGCTGTTCTTTTTTGCATGATTGTCCACCATTTTTCCTTAGAATTATCGTGGGTTTGTAAAGAAGTCTTCTTGGACTTCATGTTATTAGATATTAGCTATAATAAAATATATACAGGTTTTTCTTAAACCTAGACATAGTCTATATTTTGATAGATATATAAAGAAATCAATTCAATATAAAGAAATTGAAAAAGTGCCAAGTTTTCATTCATTCTTTCATTGGCACACGAGTATTTTTTCAGCGCCTACAATGTTTTGTGCCTAGAAATAGAAAAGCGGTCCAGAATTGTTTTTTTTTATTTACTTTTTATTGGTGTGGATGATGTTAAAGTCTCAATTTGTCAGAGCGATAATAGTAGCTTTGTGTATTTCCTCTCCTGAAGATTTGGGGAGGAATTAGAAATTGTCTAAAATTTATTCATTTCAATAAGATTCTAAAAAGTAGCTTGTTAGGAAGGGCAACACCATCTGATACTATCATTAGAAAATAAGAAAGTCGAGATGCAGAAACACTATTAATTGCTTTTATATCTTGAACTTTCATATCAAAAGTATGACAACACCAGGAAAGTGTGATAGCTATAGTTTGTCCTTTAATTCCCCAAAGTATACAGATTCATTTTCTTGTGTTATTAGCCCAACCACATTTCTAATTGTATTAGAATATTCCCTATTAGGCCTGGCAAACAAAACTTGGCGATTTACAGAATAGTCATTAATTTTCACAATAATTTTGGTCAGAAGTTGTTTTTAAAATTCTTAGGTAATAAAATTGTGTTTCAGCTGGGTATGAGGATTAGTCAGCAACTGGCTTGACTGAGTATGAAGGCGAGAAATATATATCTGAACACCATGAACCTTACTCATAGAAGTATAGGAGGGTCAAATTATGGTACCTCAAAATAGAGTCAGATATTCAAGTAAATAATGGTAGCCATGGGATCATATTTTTTTAAAAAACTGAAAAACTTAGGACAAATTCCAAATTTCTCTAAATAATGGGTATCTAAATAATGGATATCTAATATCTAAATAATGGATAAAAGGCATTCATTTAAAATATTCAACTAGTGAGAATCAATGGAAAAACGTGACAAATGTTCAAAGTAAATTATAAAGACATGGTGGTCAATAGTATTGAAAGCCACTTAGAAGCCTATATCATATTATTAGTGTTTACTCAATTGGAACCAAATAATATTTTAAATTTCTTTCAGTAATTCTTATCAGGCTACCTTCCATGTATTATGCAATTCAAGTGATCTCTAAATTATTGTCAAATTCTACCTTAAAGAGAGCTTTCACAAAGGACATGCAATTCATATCATCTAGAGTTACTGTCATTTCTAGGCTAAGTCCCATGGAAATTCATAACTTAAAAATGAAAGTCACAAAGATGCAACTGCCTTCATAATGCCAATGCAGCGGTTATAAATATTTCATGAACATTGCATGGGCAGGGGCAGATCTCCATTTTCATGAGTTAGAATTTGTACAGCTAAGTCTCCAGATTTCACTATTCATAATGCACAGTATGCCCTGTAGAGCATTCCATATAGTGCTTTTTTAATATTTCTGTTTAATGAAGAAATTACTGTTCTAAAAGAGAACAAGCCAAGCCAAAGATTTCTTGTTAAAATTACTAGTTTTGCTGAATAGCGACAATAACAATCAACAGCAATTACCTCATTGCAGTATCTTAGCACATAAACGCATAACTTTTAAAGTAATACACTATGATGGATCAAGACACATTAAACCTAAGTGAAAAAGATCTTTTTAAAGGTTATAACATTAGAAATCTCATCTTAAAAGAATTTTAAAGGTTAAAATGCAAAGAGCAACTTTCTTACATATAAAAATATTAATTACAAAGGATATACTTGCCTACTGTTTCATCGTTTAAATATATGTCTATATTTTTCTGAGTTTTTCTATTATTCAAAAAAAATTTTAACTTTCTAAGATAATATTACCAGTTCAATAATGAATTGCTGTTGCATAATTTAAGGTAATTTATCAAAGCACATTATCAGTACCTGTCAGAATAAATTTTGCACTAAAAGTAATGAAAAAAAGGACTATTGTATGTGTTGAATCAAAGAACGTTACTACAGCTACGTTATTTTCAATGGTAAGGATAGGTGATTGCCCTCTAAATGATACTTGTCCCATGAGAAAATAGAAGCCTGAAAAATCACAGGAAACAGGCTCAGGAAAATGTCTATTCCTTGCTTTTAAAAATGAGCATTTGATATTTTATTTCATTTTTGTCATTTTGATCAATTCTTTCAAGTAGATGAATGTTCAAAAGTGCTGCACAGATCTTGGTAACATTTACAAAAGTAAGCTAAAGTTACTGATCAGCTGATGTATAATCCAAGGCTAAATTATTCCTTATTAGTGTATATTATATATCAGAAATAAATTGGTTAGGAAGTCACAGGTTTTCTTTTGAATGCACTTCAATAAGACCAAGTCTTCTAATAATGAAGACAACAGTTTTCAGATTTAATATCATTTGACCGGGAGTCAGCAGTTCAAATATTTTTTATTAGGTTTAAACCAATGAGGCCACTAGAAATTCTGTAATGTTTCCCAAACTTCCCACCAGAAGTTTACGTTTTATTCCTGGTATTATTTAACTGAAATGGGAAATACTTTCTTCCATTTGGTTCTTTGTAATTTTATTTTCCAAAGGCTCCCTTTAGGAACTTAACCTTCATGTGATGAATTTGCAGTTCACTTGAAGTGTGTTAACCTTAGCTCCCTAATGAGTCCAGGTGTAATACTGAGGAGGAATTTGAGAAATATATCATGTAACTCATTGTCAAGTTGGATTTGTCTTGCACATCTCCAGCTTTGCTGTTGTTCTGGTACACATTTTCATCACAATTCTTTAATTATGTTCTATATTTAACTGACCTATTTGAACAGGATCCAGAGCTGGTGCGGAACATCTGTCGCTGGGTTAGACAAGCTGTTCGGGTTCCTTTTTTTGCCAAATTGACCCCAAATGTCACTGATATTGTAAGCATCGCAAGAGCTGCAAAAGAAGGTAAGAACTAGACTTGCATCAATTTCCTAGTTATGGAAATATGCACCTGAATTATGTAGCCATTTGAAAGTACATCTTTATTCACAAATATATATGTGTATATCTTTGTTTAGAGTTTAAGAAAAGTATTAAATTGAGCATTTGATCTCACAAATGCAGTAGATTCACAGCTAGAAACAAGCTAGTAAGTGGACTCCAAACTTTAGCCTAGAAAAACAAGAACATTTATAATTTTTCCTAATAAACATCTGTTTCACACACAAAGAGTTATGAAACAAAACCACAGTCACAGCGACCACTCCAAAATAAATGACTCATGATGTAACAATTTAGCAATAGCACTTGAACCTTTAATGAAGTAAAAAAGAAAAGATACTAGCTTCCGCAATGTGAAATTTCTTATGAGTTCCCTTTATATTTGATAGGACTTGATACTCTGCCTTAAACATATGCTCCATAAATATCTATCAAATAAGTAAATCATGCAGTATAATGCCTGATTTTACAAATCATGTATGCTTGTGTTCTCTCCAATGGAAATTGCATCCTGATTTGCAAAGATATTGTAAATTACCTGGAAAGTAACACTGAAATGCAAACGTTTGGCATTCACAAATCTGTATAATAATTGGAAAAATGAAGTGGTGGTAATTAAAAATTTTTATGTTTAGCCGTTTAAGCATAATTGTAGGAGTGAAATTAGTGCAGACATTCAAGGGGGGGGAAATGTTCTCAAGAGAAAGTAGATTGTGCTTTTTCTAGGTTGTGGGGTTTGAATGGGTTTTAACCATTGTCTCTTTAAGAACTACAGGTAAATGTTGATGTGTTTTTCATAGGAGGTGCAGACGGCGTTACAGCCACCAACACTGTCTCAGGTCTGATGGAATTAAAAGCCGATGGCACCCCCTGGCCAGCAGTGGGCATTGGGAAGCGCACTACATACGGAGGAGTGTCTGGTAGGTATTGCCTTCTCCTCACATTTTGCTTCCTTGGAGGCTGCTGAAAAGTCAGGAGATCATGTTGTAAGCAAGAGTATCATGTCTTTTATGATCCCAAATTCTTATCTCATTGCTGGTCAGAATTCCTAGTAGTCATGACAGATGGAGCAGATTGAGTGGGAAGGCTCAAGTGACTGATAGCACAAGATTAGAGAAGACTGAGATAGGGTTTTACATAAATTCTATTCTCTTGTGGTCTGTGTTTTCCTCAGAATTTCTCGTTGTCCCAATTGTCTTGTGACTTATTAGTAAAGGCTAATACCGGGGCTTTCTAAGAGAAAAATATAAGCACACTGATTATCATATCTTTTTCATAGTCTGGATTAGTTTCTACTCTTCCTAGAATTTTGAAATCTGCCTTCTTCAAAAAATCTTGCTTTTACAACTGTCTCAAACGAACCATTAAAATGTGGCATTTATAGCTTCAGCTGACAAGACGTTTGCAGACCCCACCCCTTTGCACACTCTTTCTCATCATTGAACACTTGCATTTAAAACAGAAAGAGAAATTCTAATCCCAAAGTCCAGTTCGCTATCTTTGCCCTGTGCACTCTGTTGCTGTGACAACACGAGCTTGGTCTTGCAAAGACAATGCTGTGTGGTTCTTGACTGTTCTGGTATGGGGATTAATCTCCTTGGTGATAGAGACAGTGGTAAATATACATAATATAGCAGTGTCCCACTGTTTAAGAAAAGCATTGCTGAATCAGACCAAAATATGTTTTCGGAAGAGGCTGGAAAGACTCAAATAAAGCACTATCCATGCTGAGGTATTATGTTTTGAGAGCATGAAGTATGTCTATGAGCCATGATTTAAAAAAAAAAAAAAAAAGGATTATATTCTGCTTTTAATTGAATGCCATTCCCATTCCCACAATGTCAGAAAGAAGAAGACTGATGAACACCTGCTCAGGGTCCAGACACAGCTCTCTTTTATCAGGAGCTATCCAACAGGGCCTGTAATATTATTGTAATGCAGAGTAACGTGGACCACTTTAGCATGTGCCGCAGAAAGAGAGTCGAGAGACTCCAGAGTTGGGCTGTAACGTGCACTATATTTTCTGTCAGCCCATTTCAATTTTTCCAGCCTGCCATGTTGACAGCAAGAGAATAAAGGAGGTCACAGGGGGTGCTGAACATTAAAAATTAATAAAAGAACTATTGCAGTAGTATTTTATATAAGTAACACCATTCACGTTTTCTCATTTAAGCTGCAATTTCTGAATATTCTCTCCTACTATAACTCAGTCTAATAAAACTACAAAAATACAGCATTAGGAAAAGTCTTTTGTGTCTCAGTCTTTAAGCATATACACACTGGAAATTATAGCAGTACCTGAAAACAAGTTCAGCTATACCTCAGGGCCTGTTAATATTTCCATAAAACTCTATTTCTAAGATTTATAAATTCATGTATAAATATTCACTTGGGCTATAAGCTCAGCTAAGCCTGGTGGAACTTTCATTTTAAACAAGAAAAAGTCCCTAACATTTTTAAGGGCTTGTACCTCATTTCTAATAGGTTCTATATTAAGTCCCTTCACATTAAACATTCTGTTTTGAAAATAGCCTCTCTCCATATTGACAAAATTAATAGAGTTTTTCTTCTTTAGAGCAATGTTTGCTTTTATTTAAAGGTAATAGGATCTGAAAAGCAGTTTAAACAGGCAATGATAATATATTTTAGGACAGAAGCAAGTTCTATATCAAAGTACTTTCAGAATGAGTTATAGCAAAACCTAGCCTAGCAAAATTGTGTTAAATAATAATGGTTTCAAATTATAGGGGTGATGAAAATATCAAAATAGCTAAATACCATTCCTAGTTTTATCAAATATGGCTGTCAGGACTTCAAATGCTGCTCCAATATAGAATATCACACAAAATATGCCAGATATTTTTATAAGATTTAAAAAAAATTTTACCACAGCACAGTGCTAATACTTTCCCAAGTGTTTGCTCAGAGCACTGGAATGTCTACTTTTAGAAGAGCTGCTTGAATCACAGATTTTTTTTTTAACTGAAAGCTAAATAGAGTTCAATTTTGGATAGCCACCTGAAATACAACACGTACTCTCCATTGCCAAAGAAAGACATTTTTGCCTTTCAGTATTCTCTAGCTCTTATTCAGTCTTTATTATTTTTTTGTCAGAATAAGATTTTTGCTATTTGAAAAGAAGGTTTTGTTTTGTTTAAATGGGGAAATATGAGATACTTGGGTTAGTGCATGTACTGTAGAAAAATGGTAACATTTCTTTAATGTCCTTCTTTTAAAACGAATTAGCTAATAAGGGGCAATGACTAGCACTGGGAAGACAGAACCTCAGGTAAGGAATGTCAGTTGAATTATTTCAAATGTGATTAGTCTGGATCTAGAGTACTCTAAAGCAATGTTTTTTAAACTTTGGTTCCCAACTCATGTGTACTATGGAGTCAAGTTTAATGAACTGTAATCAACGTTTTTAAAAAATTAAAAGAATAGAAAACATGTCAGAATATTTTGCACACAGTTGGGGTAAACATTGTTTGGTCAAACATCTTTTTTCAGTTATACACGTAATACATTCAGTTATACACGTAGTATGCACATGTATGTATATTTCTGTACTGGGTCATGATGTAAAATGCATTTTTTATTGTGGTTAACTTCGAAAAAGTCTGAAAGCTACTGTTTTAGAGGGCGGTCCCTTCATTAAATAAAATAAATCATTAAGCCTATAGAAGTCATTAAAAAAAGTAACTTCTACTTGTTGTAGTTTAAAATTTATATCAAGAGGGAGAGTTAGGATCCATTCCAAGGTCTCATCCTTAGCTTTGTTATTTTAGAAACTGCGTTTTTCCAACTCACTTGTGATTAGAATGGGGGTGGGGGGCGTGGCAAAATGTACGAACCAAATTCATGATAGAATGATTTATAAATCTGAATTTCAATTATGGGGGAAAACCTGGCAAGATTCATGCTCACAGTATGAGTCCATTAAAGGTTGAATTATAGAATTAAAGGTGATTTCATAGTGAGAACAGTATCAAAAGAAAGCTTGTTCAGTATTCATAAGAAATATTTTCATGAAACTAAGATGGCTAATTAAGCTCTCAAGTACTTCTTTCTAAATCATTGACTCTAAAGAATCAATGTTCTCTACCTTTCTTTGGACAGTAGAGACTTGACACCATAAGTTGTTACACCTAACTTTCATTTTTCTAGAATCCATTCAGAAGACTTTTGTTAACGTCAAACAGGGGTTAATTCATGTATCACCACACAGTTGAGTAGGTTATTGTCGTTTTTGAGTGGGGGGAATTCGTTGGCTTTATTTATTTGATTGGAAAAAGTACTAATCTCATCAGTAACATTTATAAACTCTGTCGTCTAGTGATTACTCATGATTTTTCCTAGTTTTAGTTTATTTTTTTCTTGTTTTAGTTTCAAATTTTGACCTTTTTCTTGACCTTGGCCTCAAATAATGAGGGCATCTTAAGATAGCCCCTAACTCAGTGATTACTATCACCTATGTAAATGGTGTTATCCAGCTGTGATGTGACATTTTCAAATGAAGTCCTCCCTGTGGATAAGATTCTTTTCGAGATGGTTAAGAATGAGTCCTGCATGGTATAACTAAAGATATGTCTTTCTTGCAACTGCCTTCACGAGGACAACCTTTATTCATTTATAGCTGCATCAGTAGAAAAGTAATCAAGCATCTTTCAATGGGGTAAACTCATTTGAAGAAGTTTTTATTGTTGTTGTTTATTGCGTTTTAAATGCTTCTTTTTGTTAGTGGGAGATGGGCATATTCCTTAGGTTTATTATATTATTCCATTGTCTTGTACCTATTTTGTTTGTTATACATATAAACACACACACCACACATAGGGAAAAGTTCTGACATTTCTCTGCAGAAGGTACTTTGAAATGACTACAGATATTTTAGGCTCCATATAATGTACTCCCACAAGCTTGAAAAATTAACTCATTGTTTTAAATTATTTTATTAGCCAAATTTGTTTTATTTTACCATAAAAAGGAAATTCTTATTCTCAATTGAGAATTTTTTTTTCAGTTATTTTATTTTTTTATTTTTATTTTTATTTATTTATTTATTTTTTAATTTTTTGTTTATTGCAGTAACATTGGTTTATAACATTGTAAAAATTTCAGGTGCACATCATTGTACTTCTATTTCTGCATAGATTACATCATGTTCA